AGGCGCATTTAGCCCCCTAACATTCCAAGACATTATGGAGCGATGGTTTATAGTCATTTGGACACGATGATTTGCTCCGTCGACTATCATTACTAAAACAAGGGATACAACACACCACCGATCGGTCCGGGGGGGGGGGCGACGATAGCCACCAACAGGCCCAAAACCCCGTCGTCGTCTGTCTTGCAACATGATCCTAGAACTACACATGAATGGGAAACCTAGCTCGAACTGGCGTAGGGTCAGCCATCGACAAAGCCTACAAGCTACATGACACATGGAGAACTACTGGGCCACATTGGCCGCACCATCAGGACCGAGCATGCCGGCCGCAATCTTTAGAGCATCAACATTCAGGCTTGTCAAGCGAGAAATGGTGGCTATGTCTTCCTCAGTCAGTGGCTCGTTGAACTTCTTGATCAGAGCAGCTGCAGCATTCGGGGTCATCTTGTCCTTTGGCCCCATCTTGCCGAGTTCTTGCACCAGCCTCAACGCTGCCCTCTGCGAGACCGGCACGGAGGAAGCAGCTGAAGCCTGCCGGGCGCTATGCCTTGAAGGAGCAGAGAAAGCTCGTGACTTGGGCGGGGCGGAGGTGCGGGCAGGCTTCGGGGTTGGGAGGACAGGAGCTTGGACCATCATGAAGAGTTGCTGCACATCGTCTTCAGAGGCTGGATTGGGCTGTGCTGAATCGCCCTCTGGGCTTATCTGGAGCTGCAGGTGGCCGACCTTCTGCGTGACGGCCTCGACCTGGAACTGAACAGCTGCAGGGGTGGGCTGGTTGATGCAGGGCAGAACATCAGGCAGCAGGGCGAGTGGCAGGTGGTCTTCCTTCGACTTCTGCTCGATCGGTTCTTCGTTGTCGCTGAAGGAGAGAGGGGTAGCGAGCGCCTCGAGCATTGCATTCTCGAACTCTACTTGCATGCAGTCTGACCGGGGTGGAGGGGAGAAGGCGCGTCCGGAGTCAGAGAAGGAGAAGAAAGCGGTGATCGGGTCTGTCTCCGGCGGCAAGGGGGGCGTGGCTGCAACGGCAGGGGGGAGTCGCACGCAGCACCGTCTTCGGGGAGGGTGACAGGGCAATGCTCAGGGAGGGTGACAGGGCAACACGCTCCACAGAGCGGCCGCGGCACCCCTGGTGGCGTCGCGAGGCAGGGGTCCTGCTCCTCCGACGCGGCTCCTCCGCTGGCGGGGCCTTGGCGTTGGACTGCCGACCACAGCCAAGGAAAGCGTCCTTCCAGGACCGGCCGCGGTTGCCTTGGTTATCTCCGTCGTGGTCGCGACGCTCGCCGAGGGAGGGGAAACTGCTGCAGCCGGAGGAGGACACGCGAGGCACAGAACGACGGATCCTGCTCTGCCCGTCCTCCACACCGGCTGCCCAAGTGCCCGTCTCCGAGCGAGGAAGGGGGCAGGTGTCTTCGGCTTCCGAGGAGGGGAGCCCGCTTTGTCTCGAGTGTGAGGAGCGGGGCGAGAGCGGGGTCCAATCCTCCACTCGGTCCACGTGGATCAGCAGGTCGTAGCGGTGGACGCCCGGCGGGGGGGGGGCATTGCGGTCAGGTGGGGAGAATCCGATGATCTCATCGACGCGGCCAGCACCACGCTTGAGCACCCACAGAGCCCTCTTGGTCGGGATGTGCGCCATGTCCCAGCACCACATCCAGCACGCGAACGTCTTGGTGTGGCCACGCTCGTACGTGCGGCTGTCGAGCCGGTCGATGCGGCCGAAGTCGCCGAGCGCGTCGTCCGCCCCCTCCAGGCTCCAAAACTGCATGGGCAGGTGCTCGACGACGATGCAGACGTGGAGGGACAGCTTCAAGATGGCCGCGTGATCATCCGAACTCCAGGCGTGGACGAAGTACTTGCAGCCGTCCACCTTGATGACGCCGCGGTGGCCCGCGTTGTCGCGGTGCGCTGGCAGGTCGAAGTGCACCAGGAAGGCCTCGGGGTGGTGGGTGGTGACGCAGAGCTGGTGCGCCGGGGTGCGTAGCTGCTCGTCGATGGCCTTCCCCACCGCCATGGGGCTTGTGGCATGGGCTCGATCCGTAGCCGTGAGGGTGACCGCGTGCTGCCGGAGGATGTACTCCACGTGCTCCAGGGCCGGCGTGGCAACCACCATCTTGAGGCTCTCGCGGGGCCGCTGCGCCAGATCAATGTGGGAGAAGCCAGCCATGGACGGAGCTTAGTGAGGAGGGGCCGACGGAGGCGGACGATGGTCGAAGCAGAGGCGCTCCCGCACCGGCACCCGAGCTGGCGCCGGCTTGGGTCCGGCTGGGGCAGCCCCTCCTAGGCCGCGGGAGCAGTAGGGGCACTCTTTGGCGTAGTGGCCTTGGCGCTCACAGGAGATGCATCGAAGCGGGTCGCGGCAATCTTTGCGCCGGTGGAGTTTGCTCAGGCATCGAAAGCACTTCCCACGGAAGCGCCTTAAGAAGGCCTCGCGGCCGGGCGAAGGCATGGAGGCGCGCCCGCGGTCCGAGCGAGGAGCCCCTAAGCGCCTACTGTTGCCCGCCGGCCCCTTGCAAGCTCGCCGGTTTTTGCGCGACTGGACCTGAACCCAACCGCCCGCCTCCTCCATAGGGGAGGAAATGGCAAGGTTTGATGGCGCAACGACGATGGATTTAAGGCGCTGAGACCCGGAGGGGGGCGGAGGCAGCAGATCTACCGGTCCGGAGGGAGGGGCGGCGTTGGAGGACTCACCCCGAAGCAGTAGACGCGGCGGAAGGCCCGAATCTGACAGCCGGCCAGCCGGGGGAGCCCGCGAGCGTCCGAGGCATGCGACGGACCTCCGGGCGAGGGGATGCAGGAACCAG